ATGACTGCTGTATGAAGGTGGGCTTTCCTTGTCGTGACACCGGTAAGGGTTTTGGGAGAGCTCCTGCAACTGACTGGGACCCTCTGGGCAGAGGATGGTCCGCTAAAGAAAAGTGGTATCTGAAGCAGTAGAGGTGACAGAAAGGGAAGAGAAATGGGCAGAAGCTGTTTTTCCCCCTGAAGTCTTTCTGAGTGCATGGACCGAAGCCATGTTGGGCAAAGAGATGGGGACACCCCTTGCAGAAAGCGGAGTACAGAAGGATTTTGGAAAATATCCTGACCAAGACTCTAAGTAAGTCAAGATATATGCACTAAAGGTAAAGGTTCCCCTTGACAATTTTTGTCCAGTCGTGTTCGACTCTAGGGGGCGGTGCTCATCCCCGTTTGCAAGCCATAGAGCCAGCGTTTTGTTCGAAGACAATCTTCCGTGGTCACATGACCACTGCGACTTAGACACAGAACGCTGTTAGCTCCCACTTAGGTAGTCCCTATGTATTTACTTGCATTTGCATGCTTTCGAACCGCTAGGTTGGCGGGAGCTGAGACAAGCGACGGGAGCTCACTCCGTCGCGTGGATTCGATCTTACGACTGCTGGTCTTCTGACCCTGCAGCACAGGCTTCTGCGCTTTAGCCCACAGCGCCACCACGCCACCACTAAAGCAAGGGCTAAAGTCTAAAGTAAATTCAGTTTAGATAGTCAAGTTTCCAAAACACAAAGTTTCAAGTAGTGTGCAACTAACACATTCAAATTTAGAACTCCCATCAAGAACATCTGTGCAAACAGTAACCCTACTGGTCAAAGACTGCAGATGTATCTGCAGTCTTTCCACCATGCTCTCGTGGTTTCTACTGAATTCTCATTATGTTCTCCATGGCCTTTTCAGAATACATTTCAGCTGGAAAATGAGGATATTTTGTACTACTATGCTGCTGTTAACCAATGTAGTTTTCTCTACAAATTTTCAAAATTCTTAGTAATGTTTTATATAGCACCATTAAGTTTTGTTTATTGTTTTGCATGTCTGACTGCACAAAATGCAAGATACAACTAACCAATTTTAAGGAGAATGAAGTGAGATTGAATAGATTTCCCATTACTTCCAAGACCTTACCTGGTAAGTGTATGTATATGTGTGTTTTCTGTGCCATTATGTCGGAACGGACGTACACTGACCCTAATATCTCAAGATAAGTGAGATTTTTAACAAGTGTTTTTACCAATGCCATTCCCTCAGTGAATTTCCATGGCCAACTGGGGATTCAAACACTGTTCTACTGAGGTGTTGTCTGGTAAGTATTATATAAAAATAATTCCTCTATTAGTGGAGAAAATCTCTGAAAGCATTAGGTTGGTAAAGAAACCAAATTATGGGTCCAAAGATGCAACAGGGACTGAGCAATATAACTGCACCTCAAAATTTCCCATTTTAATGTTGGCTATCAGTTAATTTCCCAGAAATACAAGCTGGATTTCAAAGGGGCAGAGGAACTAAAGACCAAATGGCTAACATGCACTGGATTGTGGAGAAAGTCAGAGAGTTCCAGAAAAATATGTACAGTGGTGCCTCGCATTATGAGTGCTCCGTTTGACAACGAAATCGCTTTACGTTGATGTTTTTGTGATCGCAAAAACGATCACAAAACGATGTGCTCTATGGGGGAATTTCGCTTTGCGATGATCAGTCCCGTTTCGGTAACCAATCATCACAAAGTGATGATTTTCGCACAGCTGATGGGTGGTTTCAAAATGGCCGCCGGGTAAAAAAACATGGCCGCTGTATTCTGGCACGGATTCCTCGCTGCACGGGCGGCGAAAATGGTCACGCTATGGAGGATCTTCTCTGGACGGTGAGTTTGAATCCCCTAGGAACACATTAATCGGGTTTTAATGCGTTTCTATGGGCTTTTTAAAATCGCATGACGACATTTTCGTTTTACAGTGATTTTCGTAGAACGAATTAACGTCGTCATGCGAGGCACCACTATACAGTACTTCTGCTTCATTAACTACGCTAAAACCTTTGACTATGCAGACCACAACAAATTATGGCAAGTTCTTAAAGAAATGGGAGTGCCTGACCATCTTACCTATCTCCTGAGAAATCTATACGTGGGACAGGAAATTAAAAGACGGCTGCTTCTTGGGAGGAAAGTGATGACAAACCTAGACAGCATCTTAAAAAGCAGAGACATCACCTTGCCAACAAGGGTCTGCATTGTCAAAGCTATGGTTTTTCCAGTAGTGATGTATGGAAGTGAGAGCTGGACCATAAAGAAGGCTGACCGCGGAAGAATTGATGCTTTTGAATTGTGGTGCTGGAGGAGGCTCTTGAGAGTCCCCTAGACTGCAAGGAGAACAAACCTATCAATTCTAAAAGAAATCAAGCCTGAGTGCTCACTGGAAGGACAGATCCTGAAGCTGAGGCTCCAATTCTTTGGCCATCTCATGAGAGGAGAAGACTCCCTGGAAAAGACACTGATGTTGGGAAAGTGTGAAGGTAAGAGGAGAAGGGGACGAGAGAAGAATAGATGGTTGGACAGTGCCATCAAAGGTACCAACATGAATTTGACCCAACTCCTGGAGGCAGTGAAAGAGAGGAGGGCCTGGTGTGCTCTGGTCCATGGGGTCACGAAGAGTCAGACTCGACTTAACGACAAAACAATAACAACAAATTTATAATCTGAATTTCACATTGGGACGAAAAATGCCCCTCTTTACTACAAGCATAAAATCGCTTATTTGCCCTGTGTTCAGAGTGAAGGGATATATTAACTTTTCCCTTAGGATTATTTGTTCTCAGCTGCTCTGAGAATGAAGGTCTTGATTTAAAATTGTTTTACTTCGCTTGAGTATGACTGAGGTAATTCTTATTGGAATGAGACACTCTCTTCCTGTTGTCTCAAACTTTTCTATCAAGTTTTACCTGGTTTCTTGCTCAAATTCCCTTTCCCTTTCAAGGATTTTTTCTTTTTCCAATTCTAATCGGTTTTTCACAGCTAGTTCCTTCAGTTTAAATTCCTGTTCTTGCTTCCTTTTTTCAAAATCTTAGGAGCTTTGAATATTTTCTCCTTCTGAAGCAATTATTACTGAGCCCTCAGTTTCTTCTTCACTTTGAATTTGAGGGTCCCCATTTCCTCAGCAGCTTGGAGCTCAACCTGTGCTGCCACAACCAACTTCTAATTTGGGTGGCGTAAACAATACAATTTCTTATTAAGGAGAAGAGTCAAAAAGATTAATCAGTTAATTTATAACCATAGAGCTTTTTGCATGCATAAATTACTACTCCTCTCAGAATGCCCAGGAGAATTTGAATTACTTTGCTCAATGCCAATTAAAAATAAAACAACTAACTTGTTCTAACTGTGCATAAACTCCTTCCAGAGTTTATAAGGCAGGAGTAAGCCATTTGGTAGTCTCCAGATCCCTTGATTACAGCTCCCATAATCCCTCACCATTAATCACCACTGGTTAAAGTTTACAGGAGCTGTAGATCAAAATATCTAAAAGACACCAGTTTACCTACCCTTGCCTTAAAAGAACTCTACTCTGACTCAATTTGATGTAACAGGGTTGAAGAGCAACTCTGCCCAAACCTGAGTTTTGTGGGAAAACTATGCCTCTGTGCCTACTCTTCTCTCACATCCATTTCTGCTTCTTCATTAAAAAAATGTTTTTAACAACATAATTTATCACCCAGTAAAAGCAGAATTAGTAAACATACTGACAAGGTAGTAACTGACCGAACATGTACCAGGGTGGATAAAAATCAACCCTTTAAAAAAACCAAACTGATGTAAATTTTTAAAAAATGATATAATTATTTAAATCAAGATTTAAATCAATTTGATTTAAATCAAATCCATCCTGCTCAGAAAGACTAAAGCTTCTTGCTACTACTGTTTTGACTCACATTAATGAAACACACACAAAAAGGCCTATTGCTTTTTAAGAATTATTTCCCTAGGGCTAAAAAAACGCACCACCAGTTTGGCTATCAGGTAGTGTGCTACCTTGTAAACCAAATATAAAAACAAAACAAAACATGGACGTAATTTATTCAAAAGTATGCCTTAAATCATTTTTGTTTCAAGAAAAGAAAGAAAAGAAAACTGTTGCAAAGGGGAAGGTGGTTGGGCGTATTTTCATGCACTGAGCAGGGCCTCTTTTCTAATGAGAACGAAAAACAGGCACGGCCGACTCTCCTGGGGGAGCGGGAGGCGGGGGTCGGTCCGTTTCGCCTTCTCCTGCACAGTCTTCCCTCCTTGGCAAGGCCTCCGCAACGTTTTCATCGCTCATGAAAGAGAAGCAGGAGCTCGTCGTGCCTTCCCGGGGGGCAGAGGCCGCTATGTGTTCGCGTCGCCCCGTGCCCGTCCCCAGGGAATCCCTGAGGAGAAGGCGGGACGAACCCGAACCAGCACAACCACGTTAGCCAGCGAGCGCGCATTGTTTTCCCACACTTGGGGCCTCCGAGAAGGGGAGGAAATAAAACCGAGCCGGCGGGAAAAGAGAGAGCGATGCGCCTTGGAGCTAGGCCGCGCCCCCCTCCTTCCTTCTTT